GATTGTCATAATAAACCTGGGAAAGGGAAATGGTCATTCATCAGCAATCAAACACAGATGTCTTTGACTCTGAAAGCCATGCCTTTTCCACACGGCACACTGCCACCTCCCTATTTCAAACAGGTACAGGTAAACTAAAACAATTAAAAGATAAGCTAAGACTTGAGAGAGCATATCACCACAAGAAGTGGCTATATGAATCAGTAATGTTCGACCGGAGGAAGTTTGGAGGAGAGCTAGGTGAGTCAGTCCTGTGGGCCCTGTTGGACAGAACCCTGTGCAGCTCTACTGAGACATCCCCATCAAAATACAGGCATCTCCTTGTTTCTGATGAAAAACCAACTGCTACATACTGCAAATCATAGAGATTTTATCTCAGTAAAAGGAAAAGTTCTTCAGTGGCACTGCGCCTGCCTGGCAAGCGCAAGGTCATGAGTTCAATTCCCGGTACTGGAAAAAAAAAAAGAAAGAAAGAAAGAAAATTTCTTGGTCTGTCAAAATTGTGAAAAAATAGAGTTGTCCAGGATATAGTGAATTCCTTGCCCCTGTACTTTTTCAAGTACAGGCCAGCTAAGGACAGGCCACAAGATGTTACTAGATGTATTGGTGTTGGAAATACAGGTAGACCCAATGGCTTTGAGCACTCCTCAAAACGGAAGTTATAGAGCCAGGCATGGTGGAGCACCCCTGTAATTCTAGCACTTGGCCAGAAGGATTGCCATGAGTTTGAGGCCAGCCTGGGCTACATAGTGAGTTTAAGGCCAGCCTGAACTGCATAGTGAGACCCTGTCTCAAAAAAAAAAAAAAAAGCTCAAGTTCTATGATTTTTCTACTTACAACAAAAATCTCAGTACTTATCTAGAACAGAAATTTCTGGCAGCAGCAGCCAGCCCTTTACTGTGAGAAGAAATTTCCTACCATGAATACATATATTTTTACCCATGTTGGGGGAATAACACGGCAGAAAATGGGCATTTGGGGTTAAATAATCCCACCTTCCCTACTTGAAGAGCCAACTTTGGCTTCCATTGTAGATTTTGCTACAAGATGAAAAACACTCTGAGTCTGATTACCTAACTAGATTATTCCAGTTATTCAGCAGTTAGGTTTCTCAGGTAAATTAACCCAGTACTCAAATTAGTGTTTTCTGAGTTTGGTTATTTCAGATCAGCCCCATGGTGTTGAAACAAAGAATAAACTTTCACTATGGCCTAAAGTACTGAGAACCAAATTCTGAATTTTAGCACAATTGTGCCTTCCACTTACTGAAGGCAGCTGCCCTGATGCCCACGCGAGCTGGCTGCCGAGCTGGCGCTCCGTGTCAGTGTCTCCGCTCACTGTAATGATAATAATATTAATAATAACGACAGCAGCAACAGTGGAGAGCATATTGTAACAAAATGGGCTATTAAGAAATTGAACTGATTTTGTCTTAACTTGATTTTATTATTTGCTACTGTAGACAAATCAGGAAGGAATAAAAATATAACATTCCCCTTCCCCTCGGGAATTTGCCAAGACACTGAGCTTCGAAGAGTTAGGAACCAAGGCATTTCATGTGGGAAAGCCACAGCTGGTCTCTTAATTTTGCTGGGGGTTGAAAGGGGGAAAGCAGGTAGACTCCTAGAGATTTGGAAAAGCAAAAATTTATTTTTCCTTGGAGATAGGAAACTGAGCCTGCTCACAACGGCTCTTCTGAAATGGCAGAATCTTGAAAGGTCTGGCTCCTGGGAAGCTGGTACGGTCTGAGCTCTAAGGCTCAGGAGCCTGCAGGAGGATTCCTGAATTTCCGGATGAAGTGGAGTTACTGCGAAACCGCCCTCCGTGGAAGGACCCCTGTCCCCCACAGCCCTCTCCTCCTGATGCCTCCATGAAGCTGGACCTAGAAGGTATCAACGGGGACACTGGCAACAGTGACATCACATGGTCATAAGGAGCAACAGCAATGGACTCAAAAAGGCTGGGGGACGGAGGTGGATGGTGTGAGCCTCTGATACAACACAGCAACCCAGGCAACTGGAAGACAACGGACACAATTGATGATAGGTTTTCCACTGATGGTGGCAGGTGGGAGCTTAACCCCTTCTAACTGAAATAAATAAAAAATGTGACATGAAATAAAAAATAAATAATGTGACATGAAATAAAAAATAAATAATGTGACATGAAATAAAAAATAAAATGTGACACAACTTGAGCTCAAGTGCCAAGGAGTAATTCATACCTGTCGCTCTGGTCCCATTATCAGTCACTACGTGGTCACTCAAGGACACACCTCCAGAGTCATTATCCGAGCACTTAATCTGTTTTCTTCTCCTGAGATCCCATCATCAAAAGGCCTTTCTAGCTCTTATGTTCACTTGTTCCTACCTGATTTATACGTTCGTGATCTATCTCCTCCAGTAGAATTTAACTTCATGAAGGCAGGGATCTTGTCTTCTCTATGTGCCACTGTATCCTCAGCTTTTAAAACACACTGGCATACACTGAGTCCAGAAAATTTCTTGAATGAGTGAGTAAATGAATCATATATCTGAAAGTTGGAGAACAGAAACTATGTGCCAGACACTTGCTAGGCACTTTACTTCTGTCATCTAATTTGTAAAACAGCCCCAAAGAGACTGATTCTAATAGGTAAAAATCATCCTGTTTTATAGATGAGCAAACTGAGGACCTAAACTATTAACTACTGAATTGTACTTTCCTTTATCATCTCTGTTTTCCATCTCGTTATTTAGCTTTCCCCAAGAACACTTTCTTAAATGTCCCTTCCTGTTTTTGGGTAAGTCACTGCCTGTCCCTCTTTGCTCTCAAAAATAGCCTACATACATGTAACTATCACTGCACCTAACCTCACGTGTTAGAATTCCATAGTCTGTACCTCCCTCTGAACTCTGAGCTCCTTGAAGGCAAAGATGATCTCATCAAGACCTAGCACAGGGCTTAGAACAAAAGAGGTATTAAAGAAATTCACACAAGAGCCACGGAAGGGACAGGTCACCAGGCTCCCTTCCTGCAGGCACTCACCCTTGCATCTCATTCTGTTTTTTGGTACCGCGACTTGAACTCAGGACCTTCAGCTTGCCAGGCAGGCACTTGTGCCGCTGAGTTACATCCCCAGCCTGCATCTCATTCTTCATCACCCTTACATCTCATTCTTCTTCGAGATGCTCTTGCTTCACTGCTGCAGGGAACTAGCCCAGCCCGCTCATGAAGGTCCAGTGTGTGACAGGAACAGTGCTTGGTGTGCGAGCTACAGAAATCAACAATACGATCTCTACTGTGAAGGAGCCACAGTCTAACAGAGTGGGAAGTACCGGAAGCCACTATCAGTGCCATCCGCACTTGGAGGGTACAAGCGGGGCTTTGAGAGCAAGGGAGAAAAACACCGGGCCCTGAAAGAGGGCTTGCTGGGCTTTCAGGACGGCAGAGCTGAGACCGGCAGCGTGTAATTCACTGTGACTTCAACATAGGTTAAGTGTCCTTTACCCAAAACTCCTGGAACCAGAAGCGTTCTACATACTGAATTTTTACAGATTTTGGAATATAATATTTGCATATACATACTAAGATATCTCCAAGGTGGGGCCCATGTCTAAACATAAAACTTATTTATGTTTTACATACTCACTGCTGGCATAGGGGAAAGGGAACTGTAGACAATATTTTTAGTGCATCTGTGTTTCCACTGTGACCCATCTCGTGAGATCAAGAGTAGGGTTTTCTACTTGTGCTGTCACTTTAGCATTCCAAATGTTTTGGAGAATTTCGACATCCGAGTTTTTACATTAGGGGCCCTCAACTTCTAATAGCCTGAGAGGGAGCAAATGATAAGGGTTTTGAAGGTAACTCTCAAAAGTTTGAGCTTTACTCTGAAGGTGTTGGCATAGAAGGGTCTGATTCAAGAGAGACATGTGGTCAGAAGGGCAGTTCACATACCGGGCAGGTGAAAGATAAGGCCTGACAGGGCAGTGGGTGGGTTGCAGAGGTCAAATCAATACAGTGATTGTTTCTATGTGGGAGAGGGTGACAGAGTATCCTGGAGCCAACAAAGACTCCCTGGTTTGTGTGGATAACAGTGCCATTCACCAGTAAAGAATGCAGGAGAGGAAAAAATTTTGAAACATATCCAGGAGGGCCTGCCCCATTGTAGGTACTCAATAAATACTTGTTAGTTTGAAATGAAACAATTAAAAATTACAACATAAGATTGCTACTTTGGGGGTACTTTTCAACTGGAGGTCAAGACAGCAGTCTGGGTGGGGCTTGGTGGCACACGCTTGTAATCCCGGCACTCTGGAAGACTTCATCAAGAAGATCACAAGTTCAAGCCCAGCCTGATCAATATAGCAATTTATAAAGACACTTTCCAAATTTTTTAAAAAATTTGAAAGAAAAAAAAAGTGCAGGCATAGTAGAGTGCAAACCTGTAATCCCAGCCCTGGGAAGGCTGAAGCAGGAAGATCACTGCAAGTTCAAGGCCAGCCTGGGTTACATAATGAGTTCAAGGCCAGCCTGAACTACATAGCAAGACCCTGTCTCAAAAAGCAAAAGCAATAAATAAGTAAACAGGAAAGAGCTGCTGATGTACCTTACTGCAAAGGCCCTAGGTTAAATTCCTAATAGTGGGGGCGGGTGGTGGGGCAGGCAGCGGTCTGGGCTGTGTGTGGGTCGGAGGAGAAGCCTGGAATGACGTCAACCAAAAAGTAGCAGGAGTAACACGAGGGTTGATTAAAGAATCTTGGAACCTCTAGCTTTTCAGAGGTGGCAGAGAAAAACTACTAGTTGACATTTATCGAGCACTTACAGCGAAGGACTGTAGTAGGTGCTTAGAAAAAATGAAAGAAAAGAAAAATGTGATTGTGTGTCCCCGTAAGGAAAGCGTATCGGAAGCGAGATATTCCCGTGTGCCACTGAGGCACCAGCCCGGGAGTCAGGGCCAGAGGGTGGCGAGATCCCCACCCTCATCCTCGCCCTCGCCCTCTTGCATGGAGTCTGCGTTGGATGAAATGACTTTTATTGATGGTAAGCGCAAGTAGGTGTGAGCTGCTGCTCCTCTTTCCAAGGACGCAGGCAGAAAGAGCCAGGAGGAAGGGCAGAGCTGGGCAGTGGATGCTGCATTCGCTCCTTATTTGGGCGTGAGTGTTGCCTTCTGAAAAGGATTTATTTTGGGACAAGGCGTAGGCACCTGGGGGGAAGGCAGCGCGGGCTATCAGGCCTCACTCTCGGTTTGGAGCGGAGCCGCTTTGGCAGCCTCGGGTCTCCCGGGATCTTCCTCGGTGTCCCGCGCCTCCGGAGGCTCTGGCGCTGACTGGGCTTCCGGCTGGCCCTCCCGGCTCCGGCCGGGCCCGAGGCGAGGCGGCTTGACGGGCGTGGGCGGGGGCGCCGCGGGGCCTTTCCGGCCCGAAAGGGCCCTTCGCAGGTTGTGCACCTTCTCCAAACCCGTGCGCCGCAGCCGCCGGGCGCGGGACTCCACCGGCTCCTCGTCTGAGCTCTCTCCGACTTCGGCCTCCGGCTGCTCCGGGCCCAGCTCGGACTGGTCCGCCGGACCCAAGGCTTCAGGCGCCTTTTGGAAGGCGCTGGCTGGAATTTCAGCCTCCTCCTGCATGTGACCACACGGCATTGAGCCCGGGAGCCGCTCGCCCTGGACGGGCCCGAGACCCACTCCTCCGCGGCCCCGGGGGACGCCGCCCCACCCTTTAGCGGACGCGGGAGGTAGGCGTGGTGAGGGCTGCGGGTGAACCGCAGAAGTTTGCAAAGCGGATGCGGCCCCGTTAGGGCACGAGACACCGACAGCGGCCGCGTGGGCTAGAACTGCAGGGCGCCGAGAGCTGTCGCGGAATGCACTTCCACCCCCACTGCTTCCCTTCGGGGTGGGCTGGGACTTGGACCCGCCTGAGCTACGCCGAGGGTGCGCCAGGCGGGGCAGGGCGGCTGCGCGGTGAGAAGCGGGTGCGGCCCTGGCAGGCTGTGCCCCAGCTCCTAGCGGCCCTTGGGGTCGGCAATGTGGACGTGGGGCGCGGGTGGGAGGGGGCGGTCCCCAAGTGGTGGGCTCGGGACGGCAAAAGGCCCCAGATGGGGAGTGGGGGCGCCTGAGGTCACTGACCTTGAAGAGCAGGACGTGCAGCTTCCCGCGCGCCACCAGCAGCCCGTGGTTGGCCTCCAGCCGCTGCACCTGGGCGGCGCGGCGGGCAGCGCGCTCCTGGGCGGCGTCCGCGTGCGAGCCCACGCGCTCCGCCTTGGCCAGCAGCTGTGCCAGCGCGTTGCTGGTGGTGTCGTGGCTGCGACTCAGCGCGCCCAGGCCGCTCTGGATGCGGAGCACCGAGCCCGCCAGGCCGCCCTGCCTCCGAGCCAGGCCGCCCTGCCGCTCGCGCAGCGCCTCCAGCATGGTGGCCAGCTTCTCCAGCAGGGTGACCACCGTCACGGCGTGCACGGGGCCCCCGGCAGGCGCCCCCGGTGCAGGCCCCGGCTCCAGCGCGCTCTCCCCCATGGCCCTCGACCGCCCTGCCTGCTCTGCCTGCGGCTGCTGGCTGCTCTCTGAGCTGGAGCTGCCTTCCCCCCGGCTCCTCCCTAGCTCCCGCCGTGACTCAGGCAGGAGGAGCTGGCCTTCTCCGCGGCAGGAGGGAGGGAAGAGAGGCAGGGGGCGGGATGTCGGCCGAGGGGTCCTTTGGAGCCGCCCCGGCTGCCCAACCCCGGACCCGCCGGAAGCAGGGTGACCCAGCAAACCAGCTGCCCCCCGCAAACCGTGTGCCCAGAGTTTGAGCTCCCCTCCTCCACACAGTTCCCTGCTGTGCCCCTTTCTGGAATGCACTTTCCCCGCAGCGAAAGGCTAGTCACGGAAAGTTTGTTTCACGGAGCGGGCAGGGAAACTATTCGTGTTAGCACAGCAGAGGGATTACCAGGGAACCCGCTGCCACCCACCCTTGGCCTCCCACGCCACCGGAGCATGCAGATGGGCGGGCCCCGGGCTGGGCACGGTGGACCCGGAGGCCCTGGAATGTTGTGCCACAGATCTAGGACCGCCTAGGCCCGAGGCCTCCTCGCTTTGTGACTACACGGGCTGCGGGTGTGAGCTGGCAGGCGGCACATTCTATGGTATTTTCCGGAGAGTCATCACCGGAGCTTGGCCGCAGGCTTTGATTCTTCTTGTTGGGTAGCATTGTCTTATTTTCTTTCTCTACTTCTCTTCTTTGTGTTTCCCGGATGTAACTGAGCCGGGCCCAGCTTCCCCATCTCAGGCTCTGAGGACAGGCAGGACACCTCCGCTTTTGAAACCTTAGCAAGTGTTCTAGTAGGCACGGTAGGTCTTTGCTTTGAGGTAGGTTGGTTGTAGCTTCCGCCTGAGAGGGTTGTCCCTCCCCTCTCCATCCCTACCTTCTCTGGAAGTGGTGAGAATATCTGAGAGTGAAGATTCGATACTGTAGAGAGGGAAACAGGGAGTGGATCCAGTTGATGTGGATTGTGAGCTTGTAATGTTAGCTTGGCAAACATCTCAGGGCTTGTGTTTAGCAAGACTCCACAGCAGACTGTAACCTGGAGTCCAAGCACTCTGTTGATCTTGGTGAGGTTTGTTCCTTTTCCTCTCCTCACCAAGCCTGTGAAGGTCAGTTGAAAACAGCTGTGGAAGATAGTGACACGGGCCCAAAAGAACCTGGGGCCTGACTACACAGAAATACAGAAACGCCTAGGCAACTCTTTTGAAAAATCTAATGATGCTGAATTGGTCCCCGACTTCTACAAATACATAGTCATGAAGTCTGGTTCTTGTGCTAACAGAAGAGAAAATGGGGGGCGCTGGTGGGAACCTAGTGGGAGTCACTGTCTTAGTGCAGCTACACTCACCTGGAGAAAAATCCACTAAGGAGGTGCCACTTAGAAAGCCTTAGATAGGTGGCCCACACCTTTAATCCCAGCACTCAGGAGGCTGAGGCAGAAGGACTGCTGCAACTTCAAGCCCAGCCTGGACTACATAGTGAGGCCCTGTCTCAAAAAAAAAAAAAAAAAGAAAGAAAGAAAGAAAGAAAGAAAGAAAGAAAAAGAAAGAAAGAAAGCCCAACCAAACAGAAAATCCAATTCAAACATTTCCCAGTAACAGGAAACCCAATTCAAACATAAATTTTAAAAGACTTGATAATGGGATTATAAAGTATGAGTCAGTCACAACTCCAAATCCTGTTCCCTGATTCTCTCACCTGGGTGCACCCCACCGCCCTAGACATGCACACAGGAGTCACCTCATTTTCAAGCTAAGAGTAAGATAGCTGCAGCAGTTGCAGGCCTCACATTTCTGCAAATGATCTAGAAGAAAATTTTAAAATTTTCCCTGGCAAACTAGTGACCTAACTTCCTCCCAGTAGACCCCATCTCCCTAGAGCACCACAGACCAAGCCTTTAGCATAAGAGCCTTGGGGGACATTTAAAATTGAAAATCTTAAAATTTTAAAGCATTTGTTTTCCAGAAGCACCCTGCCTTAGTCTGCTTTCGTGTTGCTGAACACAATACCCGACACCTACAATTTAAAGGAAGTGACGTGTAATATGGCTTATGATTCAGGGGACTCAGTGCGAAGTCTGCTGGCTCTAAAGCAGAAACATGATAGGAGGACATGGAGGGAGAAAGCTGCTCACCTTATGGTGAAGCAAAGAGGAAAGGGAGATGCCAGGCAGGGAGATAAACCTTCTGAAGGCACCGCCAGTCACCCACCTCTTCCACCCAGCCCGGTCTCCTAACAGGACATTTAGTTATGACCTTACCAATGAATCAGTCCACTCATGATTATAGAGCACTCATGATCCTCTTTTAAAAGCCACACCTCAAGGCCTACTTTTCAGGTATATGACTTCCAAGCTCTCCTGTGTTGATGTCTCCTGGACTTGTTTTGGGTAGTGTGGGGGTCTGAGATTGCCTTTTGCTCCTTTGTTTTGTCATTTTTGAAGATCCAGAGGTTCCCTGGAGCCCAGCCTCTCTCTCCCAATTGTATGTGAGTGGCAGGGTGAGTATCTGAAGATCCACAGTGCTCGGTGTAGCTCCTGTGCTGGTGAGTGGTGGCAAGGTGGGGTCCCAGATGCTCCCGAACTTTCTTGCATTCATTTGGCTCCCAGGCATGTGTGGGAGGGGTAGGAGAGGCTTGCTGGAGCTCCTGAAGCTGTCTGGGGATCAGCCCAGCTTCCACAAGAATAGGGGGGATGCAGGTCATGGTTACCGAGGCTTCAGCTATTACCCAGGACACAGCCGGCTTCCCACCCTGGCAGGGGATAGGTGAGCGTGGACTCCCCGAGGCCACTGACTCTGTCCAGGTTGCAGCTGGGCTCCCAAGGGGGTGCGGGTTGTTTTGGGAGTGACCACCAAGGCCCCAGAAGTTGTCCAGGGCTCCACGTACCTCAAGCCCTACTTTTAAAAGTAAAAAAAGAAAAAGAAAAACATGAAAACAAAGCTGTATGAATGGGGAAGGCAGGATAGGGGAATGGGGAAAATAAAACAAGTTATATCATGTACAGGTACAAATTCTCTATGATGAATGTGACTGTTACGTATATCTGAAATGTACCAATAAAATCTAACTTTTAAAAAGCCCCACCTCTAAATATACAAGACGTTCTGTAGAATATTGTGGTTCTCAGCACTCACAGGCACAGGTTTTCCACTTGCCTTCCTCTTCACTGAATGGCAACAGGAAAGTGCCATGCGTGGATGGGCTTAGACCTGGGTTCCCAAATGAGTCACTGACAAGAGAGCTAACGATCACCTTTGAATACATTAGGCCCGCTTCTGGAACAGGGTAGTTCAGCTTCCTCAGGAGCATACAGGGGGTACAGGAGGAAAAACACATATCTATATAAAAACTAGCAACTGCTAGGAATGGGTAGTTGTGTCAGTAAGATTTCTGTTGCTGTGACAACATACCTGAGATAAACAACCTAAAAAGAGGAAATAGATTTTGACTCACAGTTTCAGGGGGTACAATCTACAGTTGTTTGGCTCCATGGTAGTGTGGCAAGCAGTAGATCATGATGGGAGCACACTGTAGAGCAAAGCTGCTCACCTTATGGCAACCAGAAAAATAGAGGAAGGGGTCAGGGTCCCAAGATCCCTTCAAAGGTAAACCTCCAGTGACCTGACTTCCTCCCAGTAGACCCCCATCTCCCTGGAGCACCACAGACCAAACCTTTAGCACAAGAGCCTCTGGGGGACATTTAATATCCAAACACTTATAGTAGTCAATCAAAGATATCTACTGCATGAAGTCAGTGCAGGAATCATCAGCCTTGAGGAATGGAGGTGAGAGAACCTAATACATCTGGAAGCAAGAACTACTTGAATAAATATTTTTTAAAGACCTATTAAATTCCTCGCTGGATATGTGGAATAAGGAGGACTTTCACTTAGCAGAACACTCAGTGATGGTGCTGTAAATCTCCTCAGATCCTCAATATCCATAGGAGTTGGCTAATACTGGAAACTGGAAACTCACAAGGTACATAAAAATAACATGGGACAGCCCAGAAGAATGCTCTTAGTCAAGAACACCCCGACAAAAAAAAAAAAAAAAAAAACTGCAACAGAGTGAGACCTTGAACACAGAGTCTCTAGGGAGAAGTCATATTATAGCTTGTGTACAGGTGAGAAAAGAAGAAAGAAAACAAGGTTGCCAAATGATGCTTTCTATTAAAAGATAAACTCACACATTAAAAATTTTAAGAGTTTATTTGAGCAAAGAACAACTCATGAGCCAGGCAGCATTCAGAACCAAAAGAGGTTCAGAGAACTCTACGGTGGCCGCATGGGCAGCAAGCTTGTATAGACTGAAAGCAGAAGTAAGCATTATGTGATGGCAGAGGCAGAAATTGGAGTTAACCTGCCACAAGGCACAGGACACCGAGGGCAGCCAGAGCTGAAAGAACAAGGCAGCATCCTCCCCTATAAGTTTCAGAAGGGACATGGTTCTAGCATGTGGATTTCAGACTTCTGGCCACCAAGGTGAGAGAATAAAGTTCTGTTGTTTTATACCACCTAGTTGTAATTTATTTTGGTAACCCAGGGGAGCTGTTACAAACAGACCCCAACGTGGCTCGATAGGAGTTTTCAAATTAAAATACCACATGCATTTGTTATGGTTTGTGTGTGGTTGTCCCCCCTAAAACCTCATGCGGTCGTGGGTGTGGGCTTTTAAGAGGCAGCTGAATCTAGAGTTTGTGATTGGTTCATTGTTTATTGCTGGGATTGGGAGTATGAGTGCTACACCTGCCCTGGGCAGGTAGCCTGCATACAGTGTAAAGGAGGGAAAGAGGCTTGCTTCCCCCTTGCTTTTGCTGTCTTTCACTGCCATGAACAGTTGCTGTGCCACCCCGCCTTGGAGTCAGCTGATTATGGACTGAAACCTCTACAAATAAACTAAATAAACCTTTCCTTCCTTAATTTGGGGCTTCAGGTACTTTGTCTCAGTAATGAGAAAAGTAACTAAAATAGCATTCAGTAGAAACCGTACTCAGTTTTTTGTTTTGTTTTGGTTTGGTTTGGGTTTTGTTTTTGTTTTTGTTTTTGTTTTTGTTTTTGTTTTTGAGGGTGACTTCTAATAGAGTCTTTGCTATGTGGTCCAGACTGGTTTGAACTATGTAACCCAAGCTGGCCTCAAATTCAAGACTTTTCTGCCTCAGCCTCCCAAATTCAGAATTATAAGTTGGCACCACCATGCCCAGCTTGGTGGAAGGAAAGAGGGAGGGAGGAAGGAAGGGAAAGGGAGGAGGAAACGAAAGGAAACTGTCTTGGTTACTTTTCTCTCCTTGCTGA